CTTGTACCAGGATCACTTCAAACACAGCCAGTCCAAGATAGGGTTCTCTTCTCAAAAAGCATTTTCTTTTGAAAGTTGTTTTGGTCAGTAGTACCCTGATTTTCCCAATCACTCACATCTAAACTTTCATATTTAACTTTATTTTTCTTCTCCTTTGATTATAGATCTGAAATCAAAACTAAAAGGGCCTGCTGACTTTCAATCACACTGACTTATATAATAGACTACTGTAGACACAAGATAAGATAGGCCATGCCCAGAAGAGTTCAAAGTCAAGTGTCCCACTTTGCATTTCATAGATACCATTGATACTTCACAACCTCATTCTCCTGTGGTCACTTGTCTCCAAGCAGCCCCTAACTGCTCTGACTCCACACTCCCACTTAACACTCCGATTTACACAATGGTATACTGACTGAGTACTTTCCCTAATACAAAACATCTGTTGTGTAATTCTTCTGCTAGAAATATCTCTATAGGTCCTTTGTATCCACAGAATGCCCAGAGTCTTTTCTCTAGTAACCAGCACCCTATGCATCCTCAGACCCTTCCCACTCTACCAGAAGCATTTCCTTTATACCAAGGACATGTTTATAGCTCCCACTCAGACACACTTTCAATTAATTCCTGGCCTCCTCATTCCCACATTGGTCCCTCCCTCCTTTTCTATATTTCCTTCTAGAAAACATTTCAAGAAATTATACTTAGAGTGACTTTGTACTGGTTTATCGTAGCATCTGTCTAATATAATCTTTCTGACATTAAGTCATAAGTAAATTCATATTTTATTTGTTTATTTATTTTTGTCTTTCTGAACTAACCAAAAATTCCTTGAGGTCAGAAAGAGAAAGTACATTTTTGTTGATTATTTTCACGTATCCTTCCATTTAGCTATTTGTTGAGGTCTTCTTTGTATACATAGTAATTCCTAAACAAATATTTGTGGGTGAATAAATTGTACCCTTCTCCTAGCAAGTAGCATATTTATTTAAGAGGAAAAAAAAGACTTTTAAGCTCTTATATTTTTAGCTCATTTGGCCACAGAAATCCTATAAATTTTAAATAGTCCCCAGGAGTCAACCTTAGAAAGTCTCAACAATTGGGTTTCAGATAGATTTTATTATATATTCACTTGCTCATATTCTTGAGAATTTGATGTCACTTTTGTAATGGCTGCTAAAAGAATGTTATTGCCGTTTTAAACCATACATTTTATTCTTTGGTTTGACATAAAATGCTATAAATAAATCAGATTGAAAACTATTTAGCTACTTGACATCTATAATAACAGGGGGGTGTTTCTATAAGGCCAGATTTATAAATAGGCAGAGGCTCCCAGATTTGGTTATTATAATTTAATTGCACAAACTTCTGTTGAGGGTTTGCATCATTTAGCTAACAAATATGTCCATAAAATAAGCATTATAATATAATACATATTCAAGCAAATGAATAAATGTCACTGTGACTAGTCTCTTGAATTGCAACAAACAATAAGTGGTATAGCCCCAGATGTTTACTTCAATTGGCCCTGAAGGAATGGATAGGCTGCTGGGTAATCACCATGGTTACTGATTCACTCTTTGTATGGGAATGGTACTAAGGCAAAATGGTACCATCTATCATATAGCTCCCATCCATCATAATATACAGCAGGGATGCTCATCATGCAGATTTAGGTTTAAAGACACTGCTGATTTCATTTAAGGGGGAGGGGGCTAGTGATGTAGCTCAGTTGGTAGAAATCTTAGCTAGTACACATGAAGCCCCGGGTTCAAAGTCCTGTACCACATAAACACAGTATGGTGGTGGTACACACCTGTAAGCCCAGCACTCCTGAGGTGGAGGCAGGAAGATCAGGAGTCCAAGGTCATCCTTGATTACATAAACAATCTAAGGCCAGCTTGGAACAAAGAGACTTGATCTTTAAAAGAAAGAGGATAAATGGAGTATCTTTAAAGAGAAAATATTATTTTAATTGTGTCCGATTGTGTGTGAGAACTTGCAAAGCCACTTCCAGTCTCTGAATAACACTCCTTTCTTCCAGGGAGGATTTACTTTCTGCTTCTATTAGTTATCTAGGCTAAGGGCAGATCTCCTAAATCCAGCTGAGGATGGAAATAATTCTAATTTAGGTTCCAGTCCTTTTGAGAACTGGCCTTTCCAAGGGATTCTGGAAGCTCTGCTTCACTTCTCTGCCTCTTGGCCCTTTGACATTCAGCAAGCACCTTGTGAGAAAGGGCAGTCCCAGAGGCTGGGCTCCTTCCTCCTCCTGCTCTCAGCCCCCCCCCCCTCCCCTACCTCCTCAGCCTCCTCATTCCCCTGCCTCCCCTGCTTCTCCCCCCCC